ACTCAACATATTTATTTATTTTTTTATGTATTTTTTTTTATTCTAATTTTTTACATTTCTGGGTTGGGCTAAAAAAACGTAGATACCCAAAACTACACCGTAATTGTTGAGCACAGATGGACTTGAATTGAGGGAAGCCCCCCCGGAGTAGAAGGCATGAGCTCTCCTAGGCAGTCTTAGAAATGTCTTTGGGCTGCTCAGAGGCCTTTCCAGTTTCCATTCATGCTAGTCTTGTGAGATTATGGAGCAACAGGCCTCTAGATTGGAAAGTTTGTTAGTAGTATAACATACTATTTACGAAAAGGACTTGAGTTGTTTAAAATACCGTAAAACAAATTAGACTTTATTGTTTTATTTCTGAAATTATTTGGACAGTGAACAGCTACTTTTATCTTCTGTTAAGTCACAGTAGCAGTGAGAAATTGAAATGAGTGAAATTATGTTGTAAAAATGCAAAAGGCATCTCAATCTCAAGGTAAGGAATCGTCTTTGTTACTGACTACAGTTGACCTGTGAACAATGCGGGTTTGAACTGCATGTGTCCATTTATATGCGGATTTCTTTTATAAATGCAGTACAGTATTATATATGTATTTTCTCTTTATGACTATGTTAATATTTTCTTTTCTCTAGCTTTATTGGAAGAATACAGTATATAATACATGTAACCTAAAATATGTGTTAATCAACTGTTTATGTTATCGGTGAGGCTTCCGGTTACCAGCTAGGCTATAAGTGATGAAGTCTTTGGGGAGTGAAAAGTTACACGTGGATTTTCGACTGTGTGGGGTGGGGGGGTCGGCACCCCTAACCCTCGCGTTGTTCAAGGATCACCTGTACTACCCTTTAAAAAGGAAGATACCTCTAGATAAATCAGATCTGAGAGTTTGAGAATTAAACTCTTATGTCGCCTGAAATCCAGTTCTAAAGAATGATTATGGTTTGGATTTACTAGAGGTAATGTGCTTTTTGTATTTTGCAATTTAATATAAGAATGTTTATGTGCAACTTGTGTTTTTGTAAATTTTCCCATGCAGTTGTATTTGCATGACCAAGCATATGGTAAGGACATTTATAAATAAAATATTTAGCCGGTAGTTAAAAGGGGGAAAAACCCCGTAAGTTTAAAAACCACACTTGTGTGATCAGACAGTATATGATGCCCAGTTTCTTTCTTTAAAATTAGTTTCGAAGTACTCCTCTCTCTCTTATGGTCATGTCTCCACAAAGTACTCTGCCCAGCTCCCAGGCAGTTGTGGCTTTTGTGGATTCTACAGTGTGCTGCTTCAGGCCATGACATTATGTTTTCAGAAACTTTCCTCCTTATAAATTTTAGGTTTCCCCAAAACTTGAGCAACATATATCTTGATTGTCAGAAATGGTCTACTCTGGTAAATTATTATTGTTTCTTATTTTCTAGGAGTTTCCTAATCACATAACCTCTCAGAACTGAACCAAAACAGCATTATTCCCGGAGCACCTCTTTTTAAGGTACACATAATTTGGCTCTCTAATTTCAGGCCTGTTCATAAACTGTAATATTTTTGAATTCTTGAATGGCTTGTGTGGAAAATGACTTTTACTTCTGTCTGTAATGTTAGAGAAAAAGAAGAAATTGTATGCAGTCTGAATTTCTTTTTACTCTTGAGATTTAATTAGAAAGTAAATGCAGGGAAGATTGTTGGCAAGAATATAAAACCCTTTAGCCAGCACTGCCGTGTACTTTAAATGTCGAGACGTGAAAATTGGCCACTGAAGTTGTCATTAGACATAACTCGGTTGGTAAGTATCTTGCTCATAGCAGGTTTTGTAGATTGCCTTTGATTTCTCAGATTGTTTATGTAAAACTTGATTTTCAAACTTGTGGAAATAATCCAACATTGTTTTCTGTCATGAGATAGGGTTATGAATCAAGTTCCATTTACTGCTGGCTGCTTGTGGTCATCTAGACCAAAAGTTTTGTAAGAGTTGAGGATTTTACAGTTTTATATCAAGGCACTGCAAAATGCACTGCATCTGTCAGTGCTGCCTTGTATTTTAGCAGTTTCCCTCTGAGAGCTGAAAGCACAGCATCATAACATCACTGAGGTAGTGATTAGTGGACAAGTCAAACCCAGCTTTCTTTGGGAATAAGGAAATTGAAGCATAAGGAAATCAGAGAAGTTGTACCAGGCTCAATGAATGGATTTACACTGGGTTTATTTAATGCTTTTCTTTTCCAAGGACTAAACTGTTAACCATACCATGCCTCAGGATTTCTTCATTATTTTCGCCCTCTGATTGCTGAAGCTGAGGCTTTGCCGAATATCCTGTTACAGGGTGTTCTGGGGAAACTGAGGCATCGGGCAGTGGATTGCCAAGAATTGGATGGATAATTGCTGTCTTATTTGGGAGTGGAACTGAAAGCCACAACTCAGAAGTTTGATCTGATTTAACATTGTTGGTTGCTACTTAGCAGCAAGGCTGGTTTCTTAGAAACTGGGTCTTGGCTCTAGTCTGTTTTGCATGAAGATGATGGTAAATGCAGTCGTGTTTCTAGGTAGATGGCACATAGTTACAGAGTACAATTTCCCTTTTCTGAAAGGAAAAGCCAGTTAACTGTTATGTTGAACGAAGCCCCTTCTTACTTAAGAATAGGTTACACAGTGCTACTCTGAAAAATCTCCAGCAAATCATGAATAGTCACTCATTTTGGTTGGTTTAAGACATTTCTCCATGTTCTTGTAAGTCTAGATTTTAAAAACACTTCCATGTTTGCAAAAAATAATATGTGTTTGACTTTAGTTATTTTTAAGAGTTGCTCCTAGGGAATAGAAGAGGGAAGCTTGATAAGGTTGCAAAGCTAGAAAAGAAAGTAAGGTTTGCAGTTCGTTAGGCTGCAGAGGTAAAGTTTTTTTCACTTAAGTGTACAGTTTGGTATGATGGTCTTTCCAGGATGAACAATTAATAATGAATTCTCTTTTAAGAAGTGTTTCTTTAAATGGACCACCCAGTGGTTACATTTGTGTGGAAAGAAAATCCTCCATTGCCCACTTGGCACTGAGCCAAGTGTGAGACAGGGGCCACATTCAGTCACTTGGATGCAAAGATCTTGCACAGCCTGGGTTGTTTCCAGGCATTATTTTTGGCTGATTTTATTGTCTTACAAGTGATTATGCCTCCTCAGGGCTACTTGTCCTGTCTTTCTTTTGAGCACCAAGTACATAGTGGTCTTTTTGTTTTGTTTTCCCCTCTGTCTTAAGTAGTTTGGTCATATTTCTTTTAAAGAACCTTTTATTGGGTAATTTGATATTTGGGCCTGCTGTTGGATATTATTTGCTTGACATTGCCGTTGTTATTTGGAAATGGTTATGTAGGAGTATAGTGATTGCCATGTTTCTGTATTTGCGGCTGCCCTGCCTACGAGTGTTTAGATAATGTTTGGAGTCAATGAAGTGCTGTTCTGGGGATCAGAGCCACGATGGTGGGTGCTGGTAGGGGGTGAAGGTAGGAAGATGTGGTGGTGGTTGTGGGGGTGGGGTGAGTTTATTTGTAGAAAACATAAAACCACATTGCAACCAGAAAGATGTGTCCAGAAAGGATCTTAGAAATAACTGTTGAATGTAAAGGAATGGTGTGGGCATTTTAGGTGTATTTCAAGGCTATTGTAGGAAAATGGTTTATTCCTTAGCTTTTTTATTGTTGTTGACAAAGTTTCTCTGAGAGTGGAGCCTCTCAAAACCTAGAGAACTAATAGATTTACAGTTGGTTGCTTAAAGATCTCTTTTTGTGTCTTTGAGGAAAAGTTTAACAAATAGATTTTTTCTAGCACTTGAGAATGTACAATATGCCGTATAAGGTTTCACATGTAGTAGATGCTTGATAAGTTTTTGTTGAATGTGGAATGAATATACTATCCTGAAATTGCTGTTCATACAGCTGATGCTTTATCCTGGCAAGGAACTGGAGTGCTCTTGTGTCTGTGTACCCACACTACATAAGATTTGATGGAGGACTTTGTTCAGGCGTTAGCAGTCCTGCCCTCACTAGGCATTCATTGGACAGTAGCGCAACCCCAAGAAAAGGATGGTGAGGGTAGAGATTTTGGGTAAAATGTTTGTGGCTATCTAAGCTTGTTCAGAATTGTGGTGATTTCTCTTCTCCTTTTTTTCTTTTTCTCTTTTTCTTTCTAACATATCTTGTTTGGAAACATCACTTACTGCAAAGGGGAATGATGTGTTGAACACAAAAGTATACCTTCATTATAAGTTATATATTAATCTAGTTACAAATTGGATATTAAAATGTTTTTCCATAATTGCTGAAGTAGTTGTTTCATATTACAATGATTTAACAATCTGTTAGTTGAAAGTGAATATAAGACTAAGCACTCTTGCAGATAGTTCTGTAAACTATTTCTAGAAGAATCTGCCTTTTTGTTTATTAAACAAATCACTCAGATGGTACACTCAGTATGGCCTAGTCTTGGTAGATCCCTGCTAAGTGAGGAATTTGCATTTGTGTCTCCTCACTTTTTTTTTCTTTTCTGGAGAGAGAGAGAGAGACAGTGAGCACGCGCGAGAAGGGGGAGAGGAAGAGAGAGTATCCCAAGCAGGCTCCACACCCAGCACGGAGCTCACCTGGGGTTTGATCTCACGACCCTGAGATCACGACCTGAGCTGAAATCAAGAGTTGGACACTCATTCGACCGAGCCACCCAGACACCTCTGTTCCTGATCAATTTTTAACACATTATGTATAATTTTTAAAAATGCTTAGGGGCGCTGGGTAGTTAAGTGTCTGACTTGATCTCATCTCAGGTCTTGATCTCAGGGTCATGAGTTTGAGCCCCACATTGGGCTCCATGCTGGGCATGGAAAATACCTTAATTGTAGAATTTTGTAGAATTCATGTGCCCATATTCCCCTTCCCACAACCCATTAAAAAGTATGTGACACTTGTGAAATGGAAGCTGCCATCCAAGGTGAGACTGTTTTTATGAGAAGATTTTTGTGTCCTCAAGCCAAATTTGGGACTTGGAATTAGGAGTCTTTAAAAAAAAAAAAGGTATTCGTAACTCTATCCTATCACCTCTCTTTGTGTTTTAGTGCTTGTATGTGCTACGTAAATATAAGGATTTGAGAATAAGATGTGAACATGTTTTCCTGAGTTGGTGTCTAAAGCTCTTGAGATAAGAGAAACCAGAGGCTTCTCGTCTGTGCTGGAGGCCGGAGACAGGGAAATAGCACGACCCAGGCTTAACAGTTAAAGGTGCTTTCAGTGCTGAGGAAAGCTGAAGTCTTTGTGTTTTCAGTTTTCCACCTAATTTTACTGTGTGTAAAATATTGTTCATTTATAAGAAGACTGACAAATCATTTTAATCTCTTTGGAGTCCCTAACTTATCTGGTATCAAGTAACCCTTAAAGATAGGCTCAGAAGAAAAGACACGATCTCATGGAAGGATTTCATCTTCAGGACAGGGTAGTACTGTTGAGCAACAGGTGCCAAATCTGTACAGAAGTGGTATCTCCAGAATTCCCTGATTCCCCTGAATGCTGCTGTGCACTCTATAAATAGCAGTAGTGAAAAGCTTTATTTTTTGTTCAAGTTATGTGGGTAAATAATATATTTTACCCCATTTATAACTATGTTAGCTGCCTGGCTTCTCTTTGGGAAAGGAGCGTCTATTTGGGTAAAATATTAGCCTCAATTTCTTAGAGCCTTTTGAGATAAAAAGGGGATTTTCTTAAGAATATAAGCTGCTTATTAGTGAGATTTTGTGGGTTAGTATATGTGTACTCGAAACAACATCCTTGGCTCCTCTGTGCATTAGATACCAGTAACTCCTCCCATCCTCCAGTGGGCGACAGCCAAATAATGGATCCAGACCACTCCGAAGAACTGACTTGTCCCCTCTTTAGAACCACTGCATTAAATTCTCTTTTCAGGCTTAGAGACACATAAGAGCGTTCATGGGCTAATGGGTGCTGTTTGGTATTGGTCACGGTGGACATTAGAAATTTGTAGATGAGTACAGCCGTATTCGGGTTTTAGGAAATTTTTATTTGCAATTTTGAACTACTTGTTTCCCAGTTACAGAGACACAGCTCCAGGTGAACTCAAGGTAACATTTTGGGGGCAGTCTTAATTAAAGGCCACTTGTTCCCTTTTTCAGCTTGTAGAAAATCTGTATTTAAGTCTGACCGGACCTGCTGGCTGTGGGCCTGCTCTGCTCAGCACGGGCCAGAATAGATCTCTGGGCCCCACCCTTTCTAAATTTAGTTCATTCATTCAGTCTCATACCCTCAGAGCAACCTAGGGCAGGATTGGGTTGCTGCCTCTGGGGTGCACGTAGGCTCTGGAGTCTAGACACTTGGTTTTTGGCATAGTTTTTGACCTGTGACTAGTGGTTGGTGGTGTGAAGTTGTGAGTACACTATAGGTGAGTTTTTTGTTTTTTGGTAGAAAAATGCCCTCAAGACAGAGTTTAGAAAGAGAGGGGAGAAGGGAGTGCAGGGGGGTTGAGGGGCACTGAGAGAGAAATATTTCTATTTCTCAGCTGAAGGAAATCAAAACAATGAAACAAGGTCCTAGCTGATTTCTTTTTTTTTTTTTTTTTAAGATTTTATTTATTCATGAGAGACAGAGAGGCAGAGGGAGAAGCAGGCTCCCCGCAGAGCAGGGAGCCCGATGCGGGACTCGATCCCAGGACCCTGGGATCATGACCTGAGCCGGAGGCAGACGCTCAACCGACTGAGCCACCCAGGCGTCCCTGTCCTAGCTGATTTCTGAATGGTTCTGGAGTTGTTTCTTGATGTTGGCAACTTGTCTACCAGGACAGTTACCTAGTCTTAGTGAATCTCCTCTGTTCCTTTGTTCCGACTCCAAAAGAAAACAAGGAACAACTGCAGTACGGGGGATTTTGGTGAATAAGGGGATGTTTCTGTATCCAAAGTCATGTTTGAGCTGAGGTGTTTGGGTTGTTGTTTTTAGTTTTGCAGTTCTTTTTGCTCTCAGCAAGAGAGAATGTGCCAGAACTTCTCAAGTAACTTAATTGCTCTGGTCATTCATCTCTTTCTAAAGGTCCAGCTTTAATTAAAAATTACTCTGAGACTTTTTAAAAAATTAAGTAACAATTACTCTGTAATAGAACTTCTGATTTGTTGCTGGTTTCTGTTTTGGTTGGCTTTTTCTACTCTTTGTTGCTCTTGGTTATTTTGGGAGTACTTTTGACTTGGTTAAACATTTTCAGCTTTTTGAAGGATGACTCTGAACATAAGCAGAACTGTCCTTATTTTTGACTTATGAAGAAAATTTAAATGTATTTAGAAGTAATGTCTTTGGAACTTAGAAGATGAGGTAAATAGTCTCCTCTGCTCCCCGGGTTCCACTCCCCAGCCACACCAGTGAAATTACCAATCTGAAATCTGTTCCTCTCTTCTTTATCTTCTCCACTTTTGCTTTTAATCGTACAAACACTATAGAATGTTCTTTACTATTCAAGTAATTTCTGAGGATCCTGTATATTGATGTAGATGCAAGTTTTGTTTGGGGTCTGTAACTAAATGAGACCATCTCAACAAACCTCATAGGAAAAAGATCTTATACCATCATAAGGAAAAGAAACAGCAAAAGTGAGAAATTCCTGTGTTTCTTCAGTCAGCCTAAAGGAAAACTGTAAGGGTGCCAGTCTGAGCACCTTCGGTGGAAGCAGTGTTGACATTCACCCATTAATGGTCTTAGGAACCCAGTGTGCTTTCAGCTTCTGATAATTTTGAGGCCAGAAATCTTTACTGTATCCATATAGTATGGAAGGCCTCTCCCTATTTTTTTTAATTGGCCATTTTGAATATAGGCTGTAGTTTGTAATTCTTAATATTCAACAAGGAATATCATTAAGCCCTACTGATGCTCTTTATAAAATAAACATGCAGAGCAGACGGGTATTGCAAGTCATTTAAAAGCAGTGTCAGAAAGTCATAAGGCCAGGAACCTCACTGCGTACCGAGGGGAAACCCACTTCTGATATATCGGTGGAGCTACAGGCTCAGTGGGACTATTTTCATTCTTGAGTAGGTGACACCAATTTTGACTGAATATTGGCAATTACATATCTCCTCTATAATTTACCTTTTTATTTTCTTTCCCTTACAACTTTTAGGTAGAACTTTAGACTTCATAGCACTGAATTAACCTGCACTGAAAGCTGTTTACCTGCAGTTGTTCACTTTTGTTGAAAGTGACCATGTCTCAAGTTCAAGTGCAAGTTCAGAACCCATCTGCTGCTCTCTCAGGGAGCCAAATACTGAACAAGAACCAGTCTCTTCTCTCCCAGCCTTTGATGAGTATTCCTTCTACTACTAGCTCTCTGCCCTCTGAAAATGCAGGTAGACCTATTCAAAACTCTGCTTTACCCTCTGCATCTCTTACACCCACCAGTGCAGCTGCAGGTAAGCGTATGAATCCAAGTGTCTTCTTTTTCAAATGTTTTCTTAGCCTGTTTTTTGATCTGATAAGTAGATTGCAGATGTAGGGAGCTCTCACATTACCTTCAAGAAGCAGAAGAAAGTTTTTTTTTTTTTTTTTT